GGGGGGGGGGGCTAGACCTGACACAAAAATAAATATATGAAAGAAAAAAATACAAGTAAGATGTACTACGGGTATTCGAGTAACATTAATAAGTAACTAATTTAGAGTCCCTTTGGTAATACCTAAATCAGCTGTACTGACTGATTCTGCTGAGACTTGTGAAGTTCCGCCGGCTAAAGTTGCTGGATTGGCTAATTATATTCTTCAAATAAGTGAAAAAATTCTATTTAAAATATATTTTATTAAATTAATTCGGCCAGGTCTTGGATCGAGATTATATAGATATGGTCTTCGGTCCAATGTTTTCTTTAATTCTAATCTTGGTCCAACCCGTTGCAATCGACTCCAATCCGGTCCCCGGAGCATAATGTTAGTTTCAAGGGAAAGTTCCCGAAATAGGACTAAAACAGTTTGAAAATCCGAAAATAGGATTGTCATGTTTTTTTTCAAAATAGGACTAATTACTGCCATGTTTAGAAAATACTGCCATGTTTGAAGTCTGATACTGCGAAAACATGATAATAATTAGTCATATTTTGGGGAGAAAACATGGAAGTCCTTTTTTACAATTTTCAAGTCCTATTTCGGGTAATATTCTCTTGTTTCAAAGGTGTTTTTGATAATGCTCTTCTAGTATCCAAATAAATAAGCACAATGTATGTTTATCCCACCATATCAGATCGAATTAGCATACACTTAAATGGATTATATTAAACCGCTAAAAAGTAAGATGGCATATAGTACTACTATAGTGCATACAATACATTTGATGGGTCCAATTCATCATTTCATCATTTATTAATATTGAAATCGTTCAATTGCAATCTTTTAATCGATCCACATAAGCAAGGCACAATACTTTAAGCGGTACCATAGAATTTGTATTTCTATACAATTGGTTTTATCAATTCCATGTCAACTACAAAAATAGTTTCATTTTCATGATAAGTGTGTTATGTCAAACTGAGAACATAATTACTACTGCCTTAGGATGTTTTTAATTGGACTGTAATGAGCATAAGTAACTTACGAGATGCACATTGATATGAAAATTGTAAGTTTTGTTTGTTAAGCATCAAGAAATTTTCAGTGAGCGCTAAACCTCCGCTATTGAGTATTAGAATCGTGCTATTGACTATCATGATTTGTGGTCTTGTGTCTATAATCAATTTATATGTGAATCTAATGCAATATGAGACTTTTGAAATATACATTGATATAACATTTTAAAATGAGCATAACAGAGATATTAAATGGACATTTAGTAATCATAAACACATTTATAAACACTATAGTCATTTTCAACACTCTGTATAACATAAAATTTATGTTAATAATTAACAAGCTAAAAGTTTTAATCCAACATAGTAAAATATAATATTTGAATACATGTTCAAATTGGTCATCTTGGAATTTGAGAACCGAGGCCACAACATCATGCATGATTCTCCTCTTATCAACTCCAGCGAGCAGCAGGCAGATCGATAGCTCCTTCACCAACACGGCAACACCCAGATCTCCACCAAGCGAGCAACAACAATCGATTCGCACCTCCTCCGTCAATTTTCTCAGCATTCAGCACAACACGAAAGAACAGACTGCTCTTATTAATTGAAAGGTTTAAAGTCCATAAATATTATTCTATCCGTCCCGGAATTATCTTCATCCTTTCCTTTTCGGTCTGTCCCAAATTTATCTCTTCTTTCCTCTGCATAACTCTCCACCACACATTTCCCACTATCTTAATATGTGTGCCAATTGTACTTGTGAAGATAAATATGGGACAGAGGGAGTACAAAAAAACAGATGTAGATGTAATGTTCTACTCCCTCCTTTTTTTTAAACAAGTTCTCACTTTCCTTTTTGGGTAGTTCCCAAATTAAGTTCTCATTTCCTTATTTGGCAAATTAACTACGGAGTACATCAAAACAATGCCAAACAACGCAAAACAGTGCCAAACAGTGTCTAAAAATTGCCAAACAGTGTCCAAACAGTGCCCCAACAGTGTCAAAACATTAAAGTTCACCCTCAGTAATTTTTTTTCGTTAAAAACTATGAAAAGTAACGAGGAACTTGTTTTAGAAAAGGAGGGAGTATATAAATTGACGTGCCGCCCTGGGTATGAATGTTTATACAGACTCAAATATTTGAACTTCCAACTTGCAAATAAACTTTTTGAGGATTAACAAGAGTGTGAGAAGCTTCCAAACTAAATAATGGTAGACTCCAGCTACCCATACTCATCCATCAACAATTTCAAATTCAAATCCCAGCCGTCCAAAAATAAATCCCTTTTCAATAGCTTCGTTTCACATGATCTACATGAGCCACTCATCCATCTAATTAGCAGAGAGTGCACACAATCACATCACCATCAATATCATCATTATCGTCTTCATCACTGTATTTTTTAATATTATTGCCTTTAATCTATTATTATAACTCATATAATTTCTGTATTATTGTTTCTTTGAAAGGAAAAGAATTCATTATATGAATCAATCATATCAGTAGCAGCTAGTTTACAATAAAATTTGGGATCAATTAGCTCAAGCTCATCCTTAGATTAAAAAATCGCTACCCTAGCAATTAAATGAGGAGCGTGATTCGCAGATGGCTTACAAAAAATAACTCCCATTCCCCTGTCTCCTTCTGTGTCTAGCTCTCGCTGCCTACACTTCCCCTCCTTCCAACGAGGGGAACGGGAACGGTTTTACATATAACTGTACCCGTCTCGTTGGGTAATTCCTCCGTCCCGTAATCACCTCATTACCCAACAAGTAATTTTTACTCAAATCATAACCGCCCAAAGGGTAAAAGGTATAATCGTGTGTAACCGTTGGTAATCGCTTTATCAAACGAGTCATTGATATTTTAATATAAAAATAATATTTTAAAAGTGAAAAATGGCATCACCTAGATGACTCTAGACTCATACGTCACTTTACATTTTGTGTATCTATAAGATGAGAAATAAGACAACATAAAATAATTTGAACCTAAAAATACTTAATATGCAAAACAATTAATCAGACAAGATGTACCATTAAGATCTATGATGAGCTTTCATTAACACTATAGTTAGTACATCTATTTTTCATATATATACAATGTAAATAAAAAATCTCAATCTTCCGGTAATTATGGGACGAACAATAGATAGAAATGTAATAAAAATATAGCAAAAAATAAACAGGACGGGTATGGGGCGGGTAATATGGCGGACATGTATAAAACCATAACCGACCCATTATCCGTAAAAACAAAACAGGTATTCCCCGTCACGTACCCGTACCCAATCAATACGATTTTCTCCATTTTAATCGGGACGATTTGATGCAGATATCCATCAGATCGGTCACAATTGTGATTTGTGACGCGGTAACTCTTGCCCCAATAGCCCCTCCCGATATCAACGGCTGCATCAACCTTTATTTCAACAATTCTTGGTGTACACCTTCTTATACACATCACTACACCCTCGTGTCTGTGAGAGTTTTTTTTGTCGGTGAATCCCAGTTCACAGACAAAAATAGACTTGTTTTGTCTGTGAAAAATTCTACAGACAAAACAAGCCTATTTTTGTCTGTGGACTGGGATTCACAGAAAAAAACTCTCAAACGTGTATAAGAAGGTGTACAAAAGGAATTGTTGCTTTTATTTTGATCCCTCTGGCCTCTGATTTTTCTCCACGTTTCCGCTACTCCTACCTTTAAAATCTTGCCACTTCACGCCATGCCTGCAACATGGATAGACCACACATAATACTCCATGTTCACTTCTACTCCCTACTCCCCCTTTCCAAACACGATCATTTCGACCTTTCCAAAGACTCCATAACCTTACAACAAATTTGCAGCAATTCGCTCCATTTCTAAATTATTGTTATAAGTCTGTTAAAATAACTTGAGATTTACAGAATCAATTAATTGAAACTATTTACTATTGTCACCAAAATATTTGAATTGGTTGAATCTATAACACTGACGAATTATTAGGAGTGTGTAGTATGAAAAAGTTAATCACTATTCAATTATTCTACCCAAAATTTATCAACTTATATAATAACACAAAAATTGACTGATTCAATTAGATTTATTGAAATTTATGAAACTATGATGAATATGTAGAATTATGGAGATTTCCCAAAATAGGAGTAAATGGAGTTTAAAATTCCAAAATAGGACTACTATGTTTTTATTTCCGAAATAAGACTAACATGATTGTATTTACTATCATTTTATAGGCGTGACTGTCAAATAGTTGCAGTACAGTGCATTTAACATGACAATATTAATTATAATTAATGACAGTATTTTTTAATTATGACAGTATTTTTCATACATGACAGTAACAACTACTCTGTACTATTTAGGGAAGAAAAACATAGTAGTCCTATTTTGGAATTCCAAACCTCATTTACTCCTATTTTGGGTAATTTGCCATAGAATTATGATTATATTTAAATTGATGAAATTTTTTACTTTGTCAAAAAAGTTGAATCATTTGAATCTATAAATCATACGTGTGATATATGGAAAAAGTTAAAACATCTTCAATTATTATATCAGACACTTGAGAGGTTATAGAATAGAGTGTTACGTTGCTTGGTGTACACACTTTTTGTACACATTATGTGTACATCATCCCTAGTTATCTCTCTACAAGATACAAAGTAGTTTATTACTGACTAATTGAGTATGTTTCAAATACCGGACAAGTAAGGAGTGTGCACAAAATGTGTACACAACATGTCTACCAACAAATTTTTTCTAAAAAATAATACTGAAATTATCTTACCCAACTAAAAATTGACTAATTGAGTATATTTCAAATACTACTAGGTATATTTTCTCATAATTCAGTATATTCACAATAATTTCATAAATTTCAGTAAATTGAGTGTATATTTCAAGCATTTCAGAAATTCAAAAATCAGTTTTTCACTAAAAATTGATTGGAAGTAAATAAATTAGTGAATGGACACACATAACTAACTCGCACTAACTCCTGAAGTTATTAGGTGCCATCACCCACCAGTGTCGTGACTGACACCAATTTCACTCGCTGATCACCGTTTTCTTGCTCTTTTCGCTCACCATTTCCTAAATATAGATCAAATCCTTCGAGAAGAGCTGTTGAATATATCTCAGTACGTTTATTCCTGAGCTGGAACAAGATTTAAAGAGAGATTAAATAGATTCAAAGAACTGTTATAAATATCAAGATTGAGCTAATTCCCCGATTCACAACACTAATTTCAGCGGGGGTTTAACGGATTCATCCACCCCGGCTGAGCCCTTCTTGCAATTTCTTGTTCCCGGTCTGAGCACCAAATTGCAATGAACGGCAAAGCTTCTATCCGTACTCGCATTTTTACAGAGTACCATTCCATTGTCTGAAAATTACCGGTAAAAAGTAGTACTCTTTTGTCTCTCTCTCATTCGTCGTCTTCTTCTTCCTCCATTAATACTTTTTTGTTATTGTCTCGCGTCAATAATCGCCCTGAATGTGCATGCATCATTTCCCCTTGAATCATTTCTGGTATTTTGATATGGGTTTTCTCCCCCTGCTTGATTTTCTTGATTAATGTAATTACTGGAAACCCACGGATATAAAATGAAACTAATCTTGAAAGTTTTTGTGTTTCTGACTTGTTTCCTTCATCTGTTACTGTTATTATGAATGGATGTGGTAAATATTGGTCTGACTGGGAATTTTCCATGGTTTTTTTGGGGTTTGATAGAAGCAGGTTCTTGAGGAGGGGGTGTTTTCTTCTAGATATTTCTGAAGAGTTTCAAGAATGACTACGCTTCTTCTGGAGGAAGAAGTGATTCAGAATGGGCACATGGAAGAGATGGATGAGTTTGATTTTTCAAAGTTACCAGAGAGACCAAAAAATGTGAACATTGAGAGACAGAGCTCCTTTGATGAGAGGACATTGACTTCTCCATGTGCCCCACTTGAATCCCTTTACCATTTTGATGCTGCCCTTCTGTCACCTTCTCCGAGTAAACCACCCTTTGGGGACAATCCACCACCAATGGTTACTGAGGCTTGGGGTAATTTGAGACAATCTTTGGTTCATTTCCGTGGGAATCCTGTTGGCACCATTGCAGCTTTGGATTGCTCTGATGAGAAGCTCAACTATGATCAGGTCACTATACAACATAAATATTCTATCTCAATCATTTTCCCAGAAACCACTTCCTTTGTCACTGTTAAATGTACAATTGAAGTATCTGCTGTTAATATCAATCATTATATGTTGATATGATCCCTTTTCGTGTCTGCAGCTTGAAAATATTTTAGGCAATGAAGAGGAAAGAAAATTAATTTCTTGTGTTCAGTTTTGCCTCAGAATTCTCAAAGGAAAATGAAATATGATTGAGGACATTAAGCTTTCAGTATATGATTAGATTTCTTAGTATTTATATGATAGGTATAAATTAGAAAAATGAATTTGAACAAATAACAAACACAAATTTATTAGTTTGAACCAATATTTTATTTTCTTCAACATTTTATTTCCTTCCTGATTTATTCTATAATTCTCTCCCTAATATCTTTTCCTGACATTTTTTATGTAAACAAACCCTTAGTGTGTACTGTCATAGGGTTCCTTTATTATCTAGCATCAAGTTGATAACTTATAGAGTTCTTTAACTATTAATTGATGATTACCCCTTGCTTGTTGATTCTCTAGTATAAATGTTTATGGTTCTATGGTTTAACTTATGTTGCAATAAAGGAACATTTTAGTGGTTTCTTCTAATTTGTTTTGCTTCTCTAAATATGTTAGGTGTTTGTGAGAGACTTTGTCCCAAGTGCATTGGCTTTTCTGATGCACGGCGAACCTGATATTGTGAGAAACTTTATCTTGAAGACACTGCGGCTTCAATCATGGGAGAAAAAGATTGATCGATTCCAACTGGCCGAGGGTGTGATGCCAGCCAGTTTCAAAGTACTGCATGATCCAGTGAGGAACACAGAAACGTTAATGGCAGATTTTGGTGAGTCGGCAATAGGAAGAGTGGCTCCTGTTGATTCTGGTTTCTGGTGGATCTTTTTATTGCGGGCATACACGAAATCCACTGGCGATTCTTCATTGGCAGATATGCCTGAATGCCAGAAGGGCATGCGTTTGATACTCAGTCTTTGCCTCTCTGAAGGCTTTGATACATTTCCGACTCTTCTCTGTGCTGATGGTTGCTCTATGATTGACCGTAGGATGGTGAGCTTACTTCTTGATTTTTCTTCTCTATGATTGACAAGAAGTATCTTTTATGTATGATTTAATTTGAGCTTCCACTTATTTCTCTGTCTTGAGGTTTGGTAAAATTACAAAAAATGCCATTTCACTTTATGTAAGTTACAATCAGGTCCCTTCGGGCAGTCAAATTTCTTTTTAATCGAAATATGACTTCATTTTTTTTTACAGTTTTTGGTTCATATTTTAGGGTCAGCGTTTGTGAATTTTGACCATAAACTGTGCTAAAGTAATACTGAATTATACTCCGTAACATTAAAATACCTTTGGACAATTTGTTTTGGCATATATTTTGAAATAATTGCTCATTATGGCTTATAAATACTACCTATATAATTGTAAAAGAAAAAATATGAACTTTAAGTAGGGATGAACTTCAAGATATTGGCAGAATGGAGAGCTTTAGACTGCTCTCTGTCAATAATTTTATTTTGAATAAAAACTGTAAATTCCTACTAGTATAATAATATTGTACAATCTTTCAGCATCGTGTAAGCTGAGAATGTTTGTTCTGTGGTTTATAAATGTTTATTATTTGTACTTATAGGGTGTGTATGGATATCCAATAGAAATCCAAGCACTGTTCTACATGGCTCTAAGATGTGCACTGCTTTTACTGAAACAAGATTCAGAAGGGAAGGATTTTGTGGAAAGGATAGTGAAGAGACTGCATGCCTTGAGCTATCACATGAGGAGCTACTTCTGGCTTGACTCCAAGCAACTCAATGACATATACCGGTACAAGACCGAGGAGTACTCCCACACTGCAGTCAACAAGTTCAATGTCATACCTGACTCTCTACCCGAATGGATATTCGATTTCATGCCCATCCACGGCGGCTACTTCATTGGCAATGTAGGCCCTTCCAACATGGACTTCCGCTGGTTTTGTCTAGGGAACTGCATTGCTATCCTGTCGTCCTTGGCAACCCCTGATCAGGAGTCCAAAATCATGGATCTCATTGAGTCCCGCTGGTACGAGCTTGTTGGTGAAATGCCTATGAAGGTCTGCTATCCTGCTATTGAAGGGCACGAGTGGCGGATCGTAACTGGTTGTGATCCCAAGAACACCAGATGGAGCTATCACAATGGGGGATCATGGCCAGGTAATTCCCTCTGTTTATCTAAATGACAAAAGTACCCTTCATTTTGAAAAGGCGTAAACATCGCTCATGAAAACGACTTGGAGCCCGTTTCGGATAACCAATGGGCGTATAAGCATTTAAAAATTGCAAAAATCTATCACTTCCAACATTGAGCTGATTCCAATTATTAGGCTTTTCAGCCATGAGGCTCCGCTGAAGTTTTAGTTAATCCTGCTAATATTTAAATGAATATTACTACCTCCGTCCCAAATTGATTTGCAAATTTGACTTTTCTTTGTCAAACAGTTTCATTTTATTTGCTTAATTAGGATGTAAAATTTTAATTATATTCTAATTTGGAGATTACAACTTTGAAGAGATTTTAATGGAGTTTCTGAATATGTAAATTTTGATTATTAAAATTGAATTAATTATCGATACGGAGGATTGACTTTTATTATTGGTTGACCAAAAATTGTTGACTTTGCAAAACAATTTGGGATGGAGGGAGTAATAAATACTTCGTAAATGAAAGTTGTATTGAACTCCAAAATCTTAAAATTTTTAAAAAGAATAACAGAGAAATTAGGCAACCTGAACATGAGCAACACAATGGGACACATGGAGAACTTATAGGCCGATTCTATTTTTACAATGAAATGACTACCAAAACACTAATAATTCAGCGTATTGGTGTAATCTCCAAATAGGCTCTTAACTATTGAAACCGATTCTATTTTTACACAGCTTATTTATTTCTAAGTTGAAACTATTTGTGAACAAAGCTAAAAATGAAGGGAAAGAATTTGAAGGAAATATGTAAACTTGGTGACTATTTCGCTCTTTCCTCTCAGCCCCATTTCCCTCTTCTTTGGAAACCAAACAAACAAGGCCTTAGTTATGAGACTGCGTCCAAGAATGTACATACTTTTAGACTTGTAGTATAGTGCAGGATTGCTGATATTTTTGGTTCAATTGTTGGGGTGCAGTGCTTTTATGGCTATTAACAGCAGCATGCATCAAGACGGGGAGGCCGCAGATTGCAAGGCGGGCGATTGAGCTGGCGGAAGCGAAGCTGTCTAAAGACGGCTGGCCGGAATATTACGACGGGAAGCTGGGCCGGTTCGTGGGGAAGCAGGCGCGGAAGCACCAGACTTGGTCCATTGCTGGGTACCTGGTGGCCAAGATGCTGCTTGAAGACCCTACACATCTGGGGATGGTGGCCATGGAAGATGATAAGCATACGAAGCCCGTTTTGAAAAGATCTACTTCCTGTTGACACGTTTCTTCTCTGATCATCGATTAGCTTTTTATAACTGATCTTGATTACCGTAGTTGTGTGGATTCCGGGGATTATTCTTTCAAATTTGGTTGGTTGACTTAGGGTTTGCAAATAAGAAATTTAATTTGTTGCATGTTAGTTACCATTTTGTCTCATTTCATTGCTCCTCTCCCACTCGCATTCTCAGGAAAAAATTGAAATACACATACATAATAATAAAAATCAAGTCGTCAACACTTAAATTTCATTAAAACATCATTTAAGTTGTGTCCTACGCGACTTCAAAGTGTAAAATTCATTAATAATAGAATCTACATCTATATTATTGACAAAGTCTCGTTCAATGTAGATCATCAATGAATCTTCAAGAAAATCATCTCCCATTTTGTTACGAAGTGCCGACTTCACATGTTTCATTGCTGAAAATGCTTTTTCCGTAGTATCAGTAGAAACAGGTAGGGTCAAAACTAGACGAATTAGTCTCGTCAACATAACATAGATTTCCGATTTCTTACTCTCCGTCAAATGTTGACATAACTCAACAAATGTCGACGCTTCAGATGTTGAAACAATATCATGCTTGTAGTGAATCAACTCATACTCAAGTGAGACAATGTCTTGATCCTTGAAATCTGCAGGATAAAACTTTTTTGCAAGTTTACAGATATCCTCACTATTGAATGAGCTGAAGGAGTTTTGGGGATCCAAAGCAAGACTAAGTTGAAGTAGTTCCATGGATGTATCATTAAAGCGCGTGTCTAACCCAGTCAAAGTAAAATCAATCGCTTCATTGAAGACATCAAAATGATAACGATGTTCTATTGTTGATTGGAAACGAGAACGCCCAATGTTATATGGATCATCCAAATTTGGAACATCAATATCATTTGAAGAGCAAAAACTCTTGACTTCTTTAAGAAAATCCTCCCAACCATATGCTCTTAACTCCGAAAGGATAGTTTTAGTAGTACCAACAAATGTAATAGCACTCAAAATATCAAGAGTTTTTTTGAAGAACCTGGCAAAGAGCATCAGTTATTCTCAGAAGTTTATGCATCAAGTGTAAGACAAACACGAATTCAAAGCTTGCAATTTTTCTATAGGTTCCAAGAACTTCAACTTTAGATCTCCTATTTGGAGAGTTCTCAACCAAATGTTCAAACACTTTGCAAGTTGCGGCATACATATCTATCAAACTCTTCATGGAGCTATAGTGAGAACCCCAATGAGTAGATCCTGATCGTTGCAAATTACCAACTTGATTTGCACCACCTCCCAACTCGCGCTCCCCAGTTGCTAATAACTTCTCAATTTCACTTCTTTGAGACACGTGCAACTCCGATACCCGCTTTGGTGAAGAAGTGATAATATTAACAATATTATCCAAGTGAAAGAAGAATTCCCAAATTAAGCTAACATCCTTAGCCGCAGAAACCAACGCAAGTTGTAAGCGATGTGCAAAACAATGAATGTAATATGCATAAGGAAAATCTCTACGAAATAATGCCTGGAGGCCATTAAATGAACCTCGCATATTACTCCCACCATCATACCCTTGGCCTCTCATTTTTGAAAGTTGGAGGTCATGATGACCAAGCACATCACATATTTTACCTTTCAAGGTAGTTGCTACAGTGTCACTAACACTTCTGATGGCAAAGAACCGCCCTGTAAGAATTCCCCTGTTGTTCACAAACCGTATAATAATCACCATCTGCTCCTATCAACAAGAATGCAGAAACAACTATTTGCAATTTCTTCACGAACCATTTGACGAACTCTATTCGCCATTATATTCAAGATCTCTTTTTGAATGTCGGGAACAATGTAGTGAGCATTTTTAGGAGCATTCTCAAGTACAACTTCATGAACTTTGGTATTCATAGTCGCAAAATCTTTCACTAGTTCAATAAAATTTCCCCGATTTGATGATGTTACAGATTCATCATGACCTCTAAAGGCACAACCTTGAAGTGCTAACCACTAGACAGTTATAATAGAAGTTCTCAATCGCAAACGATTTTTCTCCTTTTCTTGTTGCGATTGGGCGTGAAAAACATTCTTAATATGGCCAGATGGTTGCCTCAAATTTTCAGCTCTTTGAACACACATCATATGAGGTGATTTTTCTGAAATACCAATGTGTTGAAGAAATGCACATTGACTTCCTTGATTTTTTAGTTAGATTCATTGAAATACCAATGTGTTTAAAGTTCACAGAATGATCTTGCGTGTCCTTTTGATGATAGATTCATATCTCCGGCAGTCTTATATATTCAAGTGTCAGCTTTCCAGGTAGAGATTAGGAATGTAACTAATTGGTATATTTTCTTTGTGTTAAAGTATATAAATAGAAATATAGCTTTCATAGTGTTAGTAGTATTATAGTTTCCTACTCCTATTAGGTTTAAGATTTTGGCTTCCTATTCCTATATGGTTTAGGTCCATTATTTCAGTATATAAACATTGTTATATGCTCTAGAATCCAGTTGCAAGTTGAAAGTCATATCAATATTTTATTATTATTCAACACTTCACGTGAATAGATGCATGGATGTAAATATGAATCTTGAATTAAAATCATTCTTGATCTTATTGGTAAGAAGTTTAGGTCCATAATCTTTTTATATAAGCATTACAATATGCTCTAGAAATCATTCGTTAACTAATGCAGAAGTAGTATGCATATGAATGTCACTCAAGAAAAGGAAGCAGAAAAAACTTTTTCAATCACAGGTGAGTACTCAAACCAATTAAACTTGTCAAACCAGTTTTTCAAAAAACTTCGGTTTTGAGCTCCAAACTTTTTAACTAGATAAGTTTCCATTCTCGGTTGATAGGGCCCAACATTTATATATGCACGTCTCACTTCATCTCGCACATTGACATGATATTCATGATTTTGCTTTCTTTTTCCCGGATCCCTCTCAATGGAAAAAAGATGGAAGCAACTCCGAATTTGAGATATTTTAGATTTCAGGAACTAGGGCATGTGGAGGAACCTCATTGACTAGATCTTGCACTATCGTAGGTATAGGTTCAGAACTCCCTTCACCAGTTTGACGATTCACTTTTGAAAAGAATGATGAAATCAACTTCTTTCCCTTCTTGGCAACATGTTCATTATCCATTCTAAAAAAACATTTTCAATATTGGTATAAAATAAAATACTTATATAAAAAATATAACTAATAAGGAACTATTTAACTAAATCATTGTATGATTCCCTAACCCTAAAACTCTACAATGCTAAAAATAATAATACATTAATAGTTTAATACACAATTGGTCAATCACAGTTCAAAGATTCAAAGCAGAAGTGCATAACTTCACTGATTCACAAATCAAAATTCAACACCAACTCACCAAGTCACCAAGAGGCAAGAGCCAAGAGGAATTACCTGGACTGCTGGTCGCTGGACAACTGGTCGAGGGAGGGAGGCCGGAGGCAGAGCGTCGACGCGTCGCTGCTGTTCACGGCTCTGGTTTCAGTCTGGACGCCTGCTTCAGTGCGGTCGTGCAGAGCACTTCCGTCGACTGTCGCCCACTCGCTCACTCGCCCGTTCCGTTCGTACTTCGTCCCTTCGCAACTTCGCGTAAGTGGTAAGCTAGGTTCTTGACTTGTTTCTATGGGCTGGACTGGGAATTATTTGTGGGGTGGGCTGACAATTAAATTTAGGGTGGGCTGAGAATTGAAAATGTACCAATACTATTAAAAAAAATTGCCCTAGGCTGAAGCCCACCCCTGGCCAGACTAAGATCGCCCTTGTTGAGGTTTCTTCCCGTCGAAGGATGTTTTTACTTGAAGTCTTGAACCGAAATTGATTGGTCTGGTTTGATAAATGTATTGTCTCTGTGTATTTTATGTTGAAGGTGGAGCCTTGTTTCTGCAGCAGCAGGAGATACCCGACCGGGTAGGGTCAGTCACCCGATCGGGTATGAGGCATTTTTTTGGCCGGGCAACTCTCTGGATTGGAAACCCGACCGGGTAAGGAGGTTTACCCGACCGGGTCCGTGGAAGGTTTTGGCCTCTGTTTAGGATACCCGCCCTAGTTTCGACCCGGGTATGCCTTTTGAGGAGACACCCGACCAGGTACAATACGAGACCCGACCGGGTCTGCAGAGTAATTTTTAATTACGGGCTTAATTTTGGGCATGCGGCTCTAATCCTTGTTTAGGTTTTGTTAAACCTATTTAAACACATCTTTGTACGTGTAAGATCTCTTGATGCCGACATAATACACAACTCTCTCTCGTTCGCCGTGGACTAGCACAATCACCCCGATTGTGTGAACCACGTAAATTCTTGTGTTCTTGCTCTTTAATTTATCATTTACTTAACCTAAATCGTAACTAGTGGTATCAGAGCTATGGCTGACGAAGGAAAGGTTAAGATCGATAAATTTGATGGTCAAGATTTTGCTTTCTGAAAGATGCAAACCGAGGATTATCTCTACCAGAAGAAGCTTCATCAACCCTTGTCTGAGAACAAACCAGAATCAATGGCGGAGGCGGAGTGGAACTTGCTGGATCGACAGGCTCTTGGTGTGGTGAGGTTGTCGTTGGCGAAAAACGTTGCTTACAACATCGTCAACGAGAAAACAACGTTTGGACTTCTCAAGGCGTTATCCAACATGTACGAGAAACCCTCAGCGGCCAACAAGGTTTTCTTAATCAGACAGTTGGTGAACACGAGAATGAAGGAAGGTGCAGTCGTAACAGATCACGTCAACGAGTTTAATTCAATCATATCCAGGTTAGGTTCGGTTGAGATTAAATTTGATGATGACGTTCAAGCATTACTTTTGTTATCATCTTTGCCCGATAGTTGGTCCGGTACAGTCACAGCAGTTAGTAGTTTGGCTGGAACCACTAAACTTACCTTTGAGGGTATTCGTGACTTGATCCTTGGTGAGGATATCCGGAGGAGGAGTTCGGGGGATAGCTCAAACAGTTTCTTGAGTACTGAAGATGGGGGCAGAAAATCCACTAAAGGAGGTAACAAGAAAGGAAGATCAAAGTCGAGGAAGAGAGGTCAATCCAAGAACATGAAGGACATCAATTGTTGGAATTGCAAGGAGAATGGACACTTCAGAAATTAGTGCCCCAAAGCCTCTGCAGACAAAGGAAAGAAGGAGGTGAACGTGGCAGAGGATTATGAAGATGTCCTAAT